TACTGCAATCCCCATTCCCTCCCCACCCCACTAACCTGCTTTCCAGCTCCATTCTCCTGTTCAGGCAACAAAAGAAGATCAGCTGGGAGGCAGCGGGGGCGGAGCCAGCCTATTTGCCGGTTCTCCGAACTACCATATTTTTCAGAATATAAGACACCCCTTTTTCCCCTCAAAAAAAGAGGGTTAAAATTTGGGTGTGTCTTATACACTAAATACAGCTTTTTTGGCCTCCCGAAACCCTGCCCACGTCACCAAAATGACCATGCAGAGCTTTAGAAGGCTTCCAGAGTGCTCCTGGGGGCTAGGGAGGGCAAAAATGAGCGAGAAATGGGTCACTTTTACTCATTTTTGCCTCCCACCCCCTAGGAGCACTCTACAAGCTTCCTAAAGGCTATACATATGCTTTTTTTGAAAAAAAAAACGGGCCCATTTTCATGAAATTTTTGGGAGGTCTTCAGAGTGCAATTTTTTAAAATTTGTCTCTTCAAAAACTTATACTCCAAAAAGTACGGTACTCAAAATTTCCACTACCAGTTCTCCAGATCCTGTCAGAATTGGCTGAATACCACCTCTGCATCAGACACCCGGAAGAATTCAACTTTGCTGCTCTTTTAGTTAGTTCTTCTAGTCTGAGGTGGGGGGCAACCCCAAGGGAATTTCTGATCTGAGTAGTTTCCTACAGAGCCCTACTCATTTGCAGAAACAGCTAAACATTTCCAAACTCATTTGCAATATTCTGATGGGAAAAGCTCTATCACTAAGAAAATTGTTTCCGCATGATAACATGGACATTTAAGAAGTAGAAAATTGAGTACATAAGGATTAAAGATCAACCCTGATCATCAGGGATGTTTAAATTTGCCCGGCTGTATGATAATGTGTATACTGTAGTTTTGGCAGTAGAACTGCTGCAAAAGTGCTAAATCAAGAAGGATGTAATTGGTTGTTGTGTATCTATCATCCTCACGTAATTATGACGATGTGTTCTGCAGGCATTGGTTCCATTGCTTATTGTGAGTCATAAAACAGTGCATGTTAAGAGGGAAAATTTCATTAGGATAAAAAAAAATCCCAACAATATTGCACTCTGCAGCCGAACGTTAATCAGACTGGAAAGTGGTAATGATCAACTACATTTTATTTCATGCTGTATTTGTTCAGCTCTAATCTTATCAATGAGACGAGCAATATATTTCATACTGCTATATTTTGTGGCTGGGTAACGGGGTGAGCAAAATAAATTTGTTCTAAATAGCATACTTGACTTTGGCAAGCTCAGGTTTTTGGTTTGTTTTTCTTTCTTTTGGTCAGGAATTTTAACAGTTAAGTTTGCAAAAACTGCTTTTTCTTTTTGCTTGCTTATTGTTTTTGAATGAGAAAAATAGCAGAAACTAGGTTTCCACAGTTATTGGCTTTGGGTACAAAAATTTGGTTCATGTTAAATTTGATTACCTGCATAACAGTGAAAATATTCAGGCCAGGGTAGGAGAACCCCATTTAACTGGGAATGAAACATAACTTGCAAGCATGATCCTTTCTTACATACATTGGCAAATTTCTACCTTAATAGGAAATGATACATGAGCTTGCACATAAACCTTATCTTCAGTTGTTGTATGTCCCTCAGCCAATCAGAAACAATCATTAACAATTAACAATCATGTTAATTTTGAGTAAGTTATTTCCATGTGATTTAATTATTCCCAGGGATGTTTAGAATCACAGCTATTTCCAGATGTAAAGAGGGACATTATTTCCATATAAATCATTAAGTGCGGAAGACAAAATCTACCTTGAGCCTACTGCCAATAGCTAGAAGTTTGTGTAAAATAAAGTACCCTGAAGAACATTCTAACCTTAACCCTTAAAATTGTATTTTATGATCTAGAGCAGAATGGACAATTTTCATGCAGCCAGGGCCTGTTTGCTAATTATTTTGGGCTGCCTGGATGGTTGTTTTAAAGAAAACCCAAACCTTTTGTGGGTTTTCAACATCTCTCTATAAAATCCTTTCAAATTCTCCAAATGCAACAGAGAAGGGAAATAATCCATATGAGAGAATCTCTGGGGGCTCAAAACAAAATTGGTGGATTCAGGTAGCTGCAGAAACAGCTTTACTCATACTATATTGAAGTCCTCTCACTTCTGCAAGTGACAATTTGTTTCTGTTCCTCTCAATTCTAGCTGTGTCAAGGGAGCAAACTATCAGTTGTATATAAGAAGATCCATATTAGTCTTCTGAAAGCCTATAAAGTCCCATCTTCTATTTCTACAGTGTTGAGTCAGAAGCTTATAGGTAGCTCAAAGCTAATGTGCCCATAACCCCCACAGAATGTTATAAGAACAATGATAGCTTCTCTGATTCCATTCTAACTTGTACTGACTCAAGAGGTGACTCAGGAGAGTTGGAAGGAGAGACAAGTGGGTGACATCTTGATAGCTCCCTTGCTCAGAAGAAAGAGGAAGAGGCAGAAATGGTTTCCTGATGAAATAGCCATGTTTTAAAGGCCCTCCTAAAAATGTTGCTGTTCCACAGAATGAGGGACAGGAAGGGGAGAGAGAAGGGTTGATCCTGATCCCGAAAACATCAGTCCCTAGAATAAAAACCATGTTCTGTCCAATTTTTCTTCATTCATTGATTTTCAGCCTTGAATCTACCTTCTTCTATTTTATCATTTTAAATTGGAAATGCATTTAATTATACTTAATTTACTTTATTTACTTTACTAAAATTGCCTGCAGGAATTCAGGAGGCAATTGAAATTGCACAAAAGAGCCTTAGGCATCTATTTCAGACAAGTGTCGTGCCCCTTCAGAGATGCTCTAGATCAGAGTGTCTCAACTTTGCTGACTTTAAGATGTGTAGACTTCGATTCCCAGAATTCCCCTGGCAGCGTGCTACGTGAAGAATTCTAGGAGTTGGAATCAACACATCTTAAAGTTGCCAAGGCTGACCAACACTGATCTACATGGTAGGCAAGAAACAGCGGGGACATCCATCTCTTTCTGCTATCCCCTTTTTTTCTCTTCTGATAGCCTTTAGTCCCTGTCCCAAACAGAAGGATACAGGCAGGGAAATAAAGTTCCTGCTAGAAGTCTGAATTAACCCTTTGCATAAAACCACATTAAAATTAAGCCTAGGGATATATCAAAGTGGTTCAAAAGCATCTGGAGCCTGGGGAGGGTGAAAAAGAGGCCCAAGGAGTTAACCGGAAGTTCAGGAACTATTACAGAATAGTTGCTAGTTGTTCTGCTTCGAAAACCACAAAGTCTCCCCTGGGAAGGTAACAAAGAAAACTAGTCATGGAAAGGATGTGTAACATCTCTGACAATACTGTGGACCCTGGTCAAGCATTGCTTATATGTTATGTCCTGGATAGAAGGAAGCAAACTTCCAATAATCTTTTCTGCCGTCCTTGCCATTGTCTGCACAGCTTTCGTGTCTGAAGCAGTAATGCTTCAAAACCACACAGGATTACAATACAACAGGATGCTTTCGATCATTCCTGAATAGAAAGTGGGAAGGATGGGGGAAGGAAGATGCCCTCTTCTCACACTGCATTACAGTTCTTTTTTCTTTCCCCTTAGTGCCTCAAGTCTATGTAAAGTCTGAGAATATAATCAGTTATGTGGGTGACGTTGTGGTCTTGACTTGTGATGTTGGCGATGGGAAAACCGAAGTTAACCCAAGTTTTTGGATCTGGTATTCAAATAATGGAAGTGGAGAGGTAAAGTTCTGTTTCATTTATGGGAGGAATCCTACCCCCACTCCCACCCCATTATTTCAAGATAATTTTCAAGATATGCTTTTGTAATATAGACCCGATCTTACCCCAGCTACACTATGAATAAAATGTTCATAGATTTCCAAAGATTGTTTGTTTTTTAATTTCCCTTTCATATGTCTATTTCACTGTTATAATTTTCCAGTCAGAATCTTCATTTATATATTTAAATATATATATATATATATATATATATATATATATA